CACAACACAAATTGAACCACATATGTGGCACTACACATTTTGGTCCAAATAAGTTGCACCACATGTATTGCACAACACAGGCTGAAACACATTGATTGCACCACACATGTTGCACCACATAGATGTCTACAGCACACACTGTTTGAGGTCCACAATGGCTAACATTCCAATTCGCCAATTCACATCGCCAATTCCATCTTCACTACCCCCCTCCACCCCCGCGACGGGGCAGCACCGATGACGACGGGGCCACATCGAACCAGTTCGATCGCGAAGGCGTCTGGGGAACGGGCAGCATCGGACCACTTCGATGGCGACGGCGTCTGGTGAGGGGGCAGCATCGAAGCAGTTCGATGGCGGCGGCGGCGGGGGAGGAGGCAGCATCGAGCCAGTCCGATGGCGACGGCGTCTGGTGAGGGGGCAGCGCCGAACGAGTTCGATGGCAACGTGATCTGGAGAGGAGGCAGCACCGAACCCAATCGAGGCGACGGCATCTAGGGAGGGGGCAGCATCGAACCGGTCCGATTGCGACCGCGTCTGGGTAGTGGGCAGCATCGAACCGATGGCGACGGCGTCTGGGGAGGCGGCAGCATCGAACCAGTTCGATGGCGACGACGTCTGGGGAGGGAGCGGCATCGAACCAGTTCAATGGGTATGGGGCTGGGTCGAACCACTTCGATGGCGACGACGTCTGGGTAGAGGGCCAGCATCAAGTCAGTTCGATGGCGACGGCGACTGGGGAGGGGGCACAATCGAGCCAGTCCGATGGCGACGGCGTCTGGTGAGGGGGCAGCATCGAACCAGTTCGATGGCAACGTCGTCTGGGGAGGGGGCAGCATAGAACCAGTTCGATGGCAACCGCGTCTAGGGAGGCGGCAGCATCGAACAAGTTCGATGGCGACGGCGTCTGGGGAGGGGGCAGCGTCGAACCAGTTCGACGGCGACGGGGCCACATCGAACCAGTTCGATGGCGACGGCATCTGAAGAACAGGCAGCATCGAACCAGTTCGATGGCGACCTGGCAGCATCGAACCAGTTCGATGGCGACGGCGTCGGGGGAGGCAGTATCGAACCACTTCGATGGCGACTGCGCCGGGAGTGGGCAGAATCGAGCCACTTCGATGACGACTGCGTCTGGGGAACTGGCCGGATCGAACCGGTTCGATGGCGACGGCGTCTGGGGAGGGGGCAGCATCGAACCGGTTCGATGGCGACGGCGGGTTGGGAGGGGGCAGCATCAAACTAGTTCGATGGCGACGGCGTCTGGGGAACGGGAGCATCGAGCCAGTTCGATGGCGACGGCGTCTGGGGAACGGGCAGCATGGGACCACTTCGATGGCAACGTCGTCTGTTGGGGGGGGGGCCAGTTCGATGACGACGTCGTCGGGTGACAGCATCAGAGCCAGTTCGACGGCGACGACGTCTGGGGAAGGGGCAGCATCGAACCAGTTCGGTGGTAACAGCGTCTGGAGAGGGGCCAGCATCGAACCAGTTCGATGGCGACGGCGTCTTGTGAGGGGGGTGCAGCGCCGGACCAGTTCGATGGCAACAGCGTCTGGGGAACGGGCAGCATCGAAGCAGTTCGATTGCGACGGCGTCGGGGGAGGCAGCAGCATCGTTCCAGTTCGATGCGGACCTCCGCGGTTGGCTCCAAATGGCTGCGGACGCGGCGACTCGGAGGCTGGCGCAATCGATCGATTCGATGCTCGGGCCGTCTACCAGGGGCGCACATGGCCAATTCGATTCTGGGCCTCGTGCGGGGCTTCAGATGCGCACTTGCGCAGTGCTTCGGGAGGCGCCCTCTGCATCGAAGGTCTTCTGTGGGAGGGCGTTCGATGCTAGCCAGGCCTCCCCCCCACAGAGGCAGGCTTCACGCAATGACTTCGCCGAACTCAGCGGCGCTGCAGCCGACTCGAAATGAGACGTAACAGCAACACGAACGTAAGCCCGAACCCAATCAGACAATGATGTGCGCACAATCGCCACATTACCATACGCGTCCCAAGTCCTAACTTGGGTCTCTGTCTCCCCTGTGCCACACCATCAATAGCCTTATTCATATTATCTGTATGCCGTTGTGGTTACCACTGTATGACAGTTGAGTAATGATCCTTCCACGCGCTCATTGGTATCTTCATGGTGTTCCTGTGTCCCTCCTTGTCCTCATCTCCATCGCTTTCACCCCGAACTTCCCTACTACTCTGTTCATCACCCTCGTTCTCAATCCCATCCATTCGCCCCTACCCAGTGTAATCCTCATACGCCCGTCGTCAGAACATTCGCCATTGCCCACCTCCTCAGAAAGCACACGTGAAGTGGCTATCCCACTCTTCACAGGGGGGATCCGACCAGTCACTCGCACGCCCTCTCAACGCATAGTTAAAGCATGACCCTTAAAGAGGCCCACCAGACTGGGTGAGGAGTTGAATCATGGCGGCCACCAGCGACTGGTAGACCCTGTGAAAGTAAATGGTAAGCGGACACCCGTCTCTCCCAGAGGGAACGAATCCGAGCGGCCTTCGGCGGACCCTGCCAAAGCAAAACGTAAAGCAGGCCAGGCCCCTCACGGCCGTCGATTAGGAGATGAGTTCAGAATCGCCCTCAGTACATCATGTACACCACACAGAAAGTGGACTTGCTATTCTCCGTCGACCTCCAGCTCCCCCCTCGGGCACTTCATGGCTCCCACAGCGGGGTTGGCATCCGAGTGGCTACTCGCAGAGCTACTACAACACACATAGAAAGAAAACCTTCCGCTCTCCTTGGCATTCCCAGGCATTCCTGAAAGGCCCGAAAAGCTCCCACCTGAGATTGGAATCCGAGCGGCGGTTCGTGTAACTGGTAACACACCTATAGACGGAATCAGCTGTTCTCAAAGACTTCGTGTCCGAACTGCTATTCGTGCCTCGTTGTTGTTCGCCCACCTCGAAGATACCCCCCAGACACCCCTCTTCTGAATTCATGTTGGGGTCTCCTTGTCCTCGACCTCATGCTTCTCTGAACCTTGAGCTTCCTACTCATGCTACTCATACTCCTACTGCGTCATACCCTGTTCGCGATGTCATTCATCAACGCTGCTGGGGGCCTCTCCATCGTGGCACAGTTGCCCTCCTCGTCGTCCCCCTGCTCCTATGCTTCATAGTCCTCCTGCTCCTACTCGTAGTGGTGGTGATTGCTATTCCTACCCATGCTGCTCTGCGCGGACGCCCATGAGCAGGCAAAAGTTCGAGCAGCCTGGCGCAAGTTGCCGCACGACGACCGCGCTCCATCTTTACCCCTCTGCTGTTCGCGCCTGGAGGCACGGAGGATCCCTACCCAGGGCTCGGTACGATGCTGTCCAGGCGGACCTCAATGAGTTGGGGCTCGAGGCCTCCGCCGAGGTCCCGATGGAGCCCCCCGACACCGTCGTCTTCGAGGGCCATGTCGTGCAGCCAGCAGTTCGCTACATTGTCTGCCGCCGATGTGCGGCACACTGTCAAATCGAGGCCCCGACCTGGCGTAAGCTGCTGGCACCCTGTGAAGGAGCTGCATCCTCGAGCCAGGCTCGGTTCAGGGACGAGGGCCTCGCTGGACGCGAGCCGCGCCCACCGACTCGTGTAGGGTAGGATCGGCGCCGAGCGTCGGAGCTGCTCCAGCTGAGGTGGTGGGGCGGCTCCCGCGCGCCCCTGCACGCTCGTTAAGGGGGCGGGCGCGGACCTCTCCTGCGCTGCCCCTCTCTGAGGCATGGCCTCGTCTGTCTCAGCGGCCAGTGCCCGCCCCGTCGAATTGCTAGCTAGACAGTGATTGTCCCTTGTCCCTTGATCCGCTTCGATTCCTAGGCTTCTGTCGGGCGTGTCCCCCTACAGGGGGATTTTCGACGAAAAATAAAACATACCCAACAAAATACCCCAACAAGGTCAAAAAGTACTCCAAGAATAGTCCCCAGCCAATTTTTTTACTTTTTGGGACTATTTCCCCTGTAGAGGGGCAGGCCCGACTGAATCCCAGGCCTTGGCGGGGACGGCATCCTCTGGGAGCGCCTCCCCGCTCCCGAACCCGCCCGGCAAGGCCACCGGGGGGGGGTTAGCCAAGCCAACGGGGACGGAGGGGGGCATTGGAGCAGGACGCCCAGGCCGCCCTTGGCCGAAGATTCGGCGACGGCGATCTCCTCGTCCTCCTGATCCTCGTCCCCCTCGTCCTCCTGACTCCTTCTCCTCGTCTGCTCGGGCCGTCCTCGGTCTCCCCGTTTTCGCTCCTCGGTCATCTCCGTTCTCCCTCTCCCTCGTTTTTCTCATCGTTTTTCCTCGTCTTCCTCGTTTTTGTCCTCGGCCTCCTCGTTTCTCTCCTCGTTGTTCCTGCCCCGTCCTCCCTCTCCTCGCTCCCTTTTTCACCCCCCCACCGCAGAGATCGTCGACGGCGCCCCAGTGGCAGAGGGCGGAGTGCCGAGGGCACCCGAAGCGGCCCCCGGGGAGGGGGGGGGGTCAAGACGGAGGGGCACAGGCCCTCGCCTCCCGAGTCCCGCGATCGATGGAAGAGCCCTGGACTGAGACCTCCCTCCTCGGCAACCAGCGGGTCCTCCTCCTCTTCCTCCTCCTCCTCCTCCTCCTCCTCCTCCTCCTCCTCCTCCTCCTCCTCCTCCTCCTCCTCCTCCTCCTGGGGAGAGTCCAGGGGGGCCTCCGAGGTCCAGGGGAGAGTCCAGGAGAGCTCCAGGGGAGCTCCCGCGGGGAAGAGAAGTCCAAGAGCAGTCTCCTGGTAGGCCTGCGGCTGGGTACGAGGACCTTGCGCCAGCTGCGTAAAACGACGCGAAGATCGGGACAAAATCGGATCGGGATAACTCGAAATCTCTGAGAATCGGCGGGTTTGGAGGATGTATTGGGCGCCGCGGCCGCTCCAGAGCGTTCCGGGACGCTCTGAGAGCGCTCCGGAACGCTCTGGAGCGATTTATCCCGATCCTAGCCCTGTTTTACTGCGCCACATCCTTGCTCATTTGCTGTGCTGTCGGACGTGGCGCGCCGGACTGCCTCGAGAACCTGTTGGTGACGAAGAGGCGGAGCTGGTCGGCACGTTCCACGATCTCTTTCCTGGCGCAGCCCCGGGGGGCCAGAGAACTCTAGATTGCATGAGGCTCTCGGGGAGCCTCCTCCTCCCTTCCGGCCTTTCTTCCAATTATGTATCCCTTCCTTCCGCCCGAATATCTGTGCGTCGGCCCGTCGAGACGCATGCCTGTGCAAGACATATTGTGCACGAATATACTTCCATCACCTCGGCGGCAAATGAGGACACTGTAGCTTGATTGAACATTCCAGTCATGGCAACTACTCTAGTGACCACTCCGGATACCAATGAATATGTT